ATGGTTGGATTACAAACTTTCTGTCGCGAAAAGAGAGGCTTCGAATTTCCGGTCGAGGGAACCCAATTTTGGGACTCAACAGGTTATCAGGCTCATAGACACTCAAACCCCAAGCATCAACACCAAGAACAAGCGACATACATCTCCAGATCCTGTGCGCTTTGTAGGTGCTGAAGCATCGCATAACCCCATCAAACCATTGCTCTTCTCCTTGTTCGTACTGTTTTCTTTGGGAAATTAGTTGATTAATTGGCAAAGTTTAGCAACACAAGCGTAGGATGCGAGTAAAACAACGATTTCGGTTGGGCTATAGATCTAGCCTAACACTGTGTCGCTTTTGACAAACGACCAACCAAGAACAAGCCGCCGAGAGAAAGAGAGTCCACCTCGGCAGAAGCACTTCATATCTACAAGCCGTTAAAAGGGAAATGTCAGGTTCGCTTTCCGCTGCCACCAGTGTAGTGTCCGGAGACGTCCTGGCCGGTATAAGAGCTCAGTAAGTACAGCCCAATACATGTATTCCAAAGACGACAGGACAAATGGACCTGAGCATGGCCCGAAGGCCAGTTCAATCCTAAAATAACCGTCAAACGTCATGTGTTCACATAAACAAAGTATTACATAGTCCCCATTCCAACGATTCCACTAAAATGATAGCATTCAGCTTAGTCTTATGCATCTCATCACCAAATGGTTCTCCATGCTCCGCACCGCCATTAACAAATTCACATTGTACGCATTTCGCTGCATTGTCAATTTTGGAATGGAATTCTTCTCCTGCAGCGCACTGTGTGCTTAACTAATTCTTACATGTCAGGCAATAATTAAATTCGAATGTCATATTCGAAGCATCGACTGGGAAGACACCTTCTCCCAATGCCCAAACCTGGTCTTTGATACACTTTCGTGCTCAGTCCAAACCTTCCACAGTGTCTAATAAACCCGTACCAAGAGGTGCCTTTTGCTAAAACCCCTTGGAAGGAGAAGCCTAAATTGAGACCAACGAGCACACTACACAAGTGTGACATGTCCTAAAACACGCCTGTTAGGTGAAGAGTAACGTCTCGCAGCTTGTCGTCCGCTAGTAAAGGAACTGGTTATGGATAACTCCTTGCAATCAGACAAAAAATGCAGAAGCGGACAGGTGGCCAGACCCAAGAACCAGTGTGCGTATTAAAAGCATGGGCGCAGCCAAAGCAATCCCCATCCATGGAGGCAATCGAACAGGCCAAGTACTACAGAAACTCTCTCAGACACATCTTCAGCCTCTTATTGTTAAGGAGGACGGCTTTAACCGCAATACCAACACCTTAAGTAAGTTATTTCATAAAAGCAGAACACCATCGAGAAAGGCATGACTACCAGAATCCCCGACAAAAAGGAAAACCACCTAATAAGAGGAAAAATTTGGACAAATTTAATTAAAATAAAATGAAAAATCAGCCATTCGACCAAAAAACGAGTGTTCAACTGATTCGTTGGAAAGACCAAAACGGAATGCCACACACGAATTCAGATATCACAGCCAGAATTCAGTGCCACTGATTATAGCAGCAAGGAGGGTTGCAAAGAGTAGAGGGTCTACCAAACACTGCCATAGTCAACACCTCCAGGTCGTGTTGCCGGTGGTGATGGAGGGGAAGCCGAAAGACGTGGACTCATCATAACTGGGTTGGTGAGGTTCGGCTGGGATGTGGAGCCGCCTATCACGCTACCAAACGATTTTGAGGCAATGGCTCTGGCTCGACTCAAGAAACTGCCACCAGAATTACGCATCGAAGGACCAGGACTAGCTGTTGCAGCACTCTCAAATGTTGTTAGACGCTCAGAATGCATATTCCGGGTTGGTGAATTTCCATTCACCTCGAGATACTGCGTCATGTTGTCCTCAAGGAGACGGTTCCGCAGATTTGACAGATTGGTGCGCGTTTGGGATAACTCGGAGTTGAGTTCCTCGATCTGAGCATTCAACTGATTCTGCTCCATGTTTAAACGCACCACCTCCGTACGCGTGCCTACACAAGAAGGTAAAAAATGGTTAGCTAACTTCAGCCGATAAGCTTATACTAAAATACCCTGTGAAACCAGTCCAAAAGCAATCGTATTTCCCGACTCGTACTAATTATGCATCCATTTCCTTAGTAGAATACTTGACTAGGTATTTCAAAACGGCACGATACGGTAAAATTACAATCCTAATTCCACCAGGTGGATGCGAAAACTCCAATGCCAAGGAAAAGCTGCTGAGACCATGTAAACCCACTGCAATCATCTCCGAAGCACGATCTCGTTGGAAAGTGTGCCATGAACCCCACCATATGACACTGTTCTAGACTAGCAATAGTGCTGAGTTCTCTTCTTCTAGCTCAACCTACCCCATCAACGCAGTTAAAATGTGAGTAAAAGAGTTCTATGAAGGTATTCTGGGACTTCGCAATGAAGCCTCGTGAAGTAAAACACTTCTATCTCTTCACCCAAGGCGATGCTACTCACTAATACATCAGTAGGTCGTGCCGAAAAATGTCGAATAACGACTTAATTGTTCTTCCAGTCACATGCCCTACTACACTTTTAGGAATGACCCAAAGCAATTTCTTCAAAGAGGTTTCATTCTTTACTCACTTACTTATTAATCGTTCTTCCAACAGATTTGCCAGTTCAATCAACTCTCGTTTCGTCATGTCTAGTGAAGAAAGCAAGAATGGGATTAAATAAGATGGTCAAAAATCAATTTCGAGCAGAGAATACTCGAGGCATGACACCCTGGCTCCCAGAGTCATGCGTGTGTGACTGTGCCGCCGATCCATGCAAAGCTGATCAAGAAAGTCCAGATTTTAAAAGTTGCCTCTTTTTAATTCCAGAGTCTCACATGTACCTAATGGTAGCGATTGTAAACCCCAAATAGCAAAGATATTAAAGTAAATAGAGAAGATGCGAACGCCACTAACTCACCCTCCTTTGATTTCCCAGGACCCTCTTCCGGATGCAAACCATAGGCAGCTCCTGAGGACAGGTTCCTTGCCATTGACTGCCCCGCTGATGTTGATATCTGCGTAACAGGAAGGCCCCACTCCTCCTTCACCATCGCCTCTGCGTCTGTTGGCACAAACGTTAACATGACAAATAAACCAAATAGAAGGAAAAGTAGCATGGTTTCTTCAACTCACAGTGTGAGTTAGCTCCCAACTTGGCCTCGGAGGGCTTAACTATAGGTCGTGTTTCTGGTCGCATAAGCGGAGGAATCGAAGAAGTGTGTGAGAGTTTGGGCGCATCCAAAGGCACTGGAATTCAAACATCACATCAAAGTGGTGGGTGTGTAGAGGAAAGGCTGTGTGCAATCACAAACACGAACCAACGAACGAGGAAGTGCAAAGACACTGAATCGGTGGGTGTAGGTGCCAGGCTTACTAGAACTACGCAAATCGATACAACTCTGAAAGGGAGTGTATCGATTCCTCGAATTTCCACCACGAAGTCTCGCGAAAGCCGATAACATCTTGCGTCGAATGCCCCTCGCCTTTGGAGGGCTAAAACTCTCTGAAATGAGAGACAGCAACTGCATCTTAATCTGCGTCACTGCATCCCGTGGATCGACCAGAGGAAGCATCAAGTCAAGCCGTGATTGTCACAATCCAAGGCTGTCAGAGTGAAGAACGCTATACAACACAATCGCACGAGTGATTTTGTGTCACAGGCGTGCTCGACTAGTACAGTGTGAACCGAGATCGCAACCATCACCATCGAGAACGAGAACGACGTACGACCAACTGTGTTGAAGACGGCTGAATCAATTAAACCACTGGCTTGCTGTTCAGTGGCTAAGAGCTTTGCCAATCTTCTCTACACAAAGGATTGTGTGGATTCAAGTTGGTAACCATGGCGTCGGCGTTTACGCGTCCATTGCCACCCGCCCCACCGACCTCCGTCATGCGGATCAGGAGATGGGAGCAGTGGAGCGTACACACTTACCCATTACTACAGCTGGCATCGCCGACACGTTTTCATGGACCCGGCTTGTTTTGAGCAATTTCAACATCCACCTGTACCCGCCACGCATGAAAGTGTCAATACGAGAGGCATCAGGGGATAGGCTCGGTGCTGTCCGCATTTTGACTGTTTTAGCCAACCAAGCGTACGAAAACTGACATAAAGGGCTCAAAGTGAAGCCCATTTTCGCCTTAAAGGAAAGACCGGCCAATATCCCATGTTGGAAGGAAGAAGGAATGATAAAATAAACGAAATTTTCATACGCCAGAAAGCATCCGTCACTCTCGATTACAGAGTTTGACCTCAGAAAAATCTACCAAATGCACAACACAGCAATAGGGTTAGGAATCTAATTAAGAGAAAAACTCTCAAGCTCGTGACAAGTTAGCTTGAAGATCAATCAAAGGAAAATGCTAGGGCAACCGAGATGGAAGAGTACTCACCAGGAGCGCTCATTATGACGCTCATGGTAAACCGCGGAAGAGAGCTACACAGGAAATCACACGAACACCTACGGTCGCTTACAGAAAGACTGTGAGCTGAAAAGTAGCAATGGACAAGACAGTAGAAGTGTGACAAAACAACACCGCTCCAAATTTACACCCTCCAATTGGCATTCAGGTAGTATGGATTGCCCACCGCCCTCTCTGACCGTCCAGCCCCTGCCTACACCATTAACACATCGGTACTCGACAAGTCTGCATTACACCAAGGCGCGACAAAAGGAGCACGCGATTTAAACCTCCTTTCTTTCAACCACACACAAGTCAGTAAGGAAATAAATAAAAAAATAGATAGGTATGTGGATTGATGGAAAGAGAAAAGACAACACATCTCACCTTTACACTCCTGTTCGCATCGACTTCCATCGGGACTACACGAACAAAAAAAACATGTGAACCAGTGATACTACTCAAATGGCATTTCAGTAGACCACTCAGTCATGACAATGTACCTGGAGCGTCGAGATCGTATCTTGTGGCCAAGTTCGCTGAGGTTGGCTGAACTGCGTGACATTTTGTTGCGCAAATGCTCCACCATCGCTCTGCGACGACTCCTTCCTACATCAATATCGGAAAGACCAGGTACTGTAGACAGGCAAATGCGCCAGGAATAAACATGCAGTGATGACAACGACAATTAAGAAAGTTAACGCATTCGCAACTCACACGTGTGCGTGAGTGCGTTAGAGTGAAAGTGTGTGTGCGTTGCCATGACAAAAGAGTGAGAGAGGGCGTTCGAAGGATAGGTGAACTGGTTAGGAGATAAAGTTGGACCAGGCAATCGGTTGGGTAATCCAGGAAAAAGTGAGGTGGAAATCAAGAATCAGACAATGACTCTAAACCATCAGGATGCGCAGTACAATGAAGCAACAGAAATAGCAACGCATAATAATAAGTGATGGTAAGGAGGCAAATGAACAAACCCTGTCCACTCGTATTTGGTGTCTGCATCCTCTTTGGCAGCATCACTTAAAAGGTAGGAAGAGGTACCACCCGTCAGGCAAGGCGACTGAAAACAATCCTCAATCACCTATTAACTTGCCCCTCCATTCAACAAGACATCGTCTTAGTCTACTCACTGTACCCCTCTCCTTTTTCCTCCACTAATGAACATCTCCACGCCTAATTTCGACTCTCCCCCTCCTTCTCTACTTACAAGCACTTTCTCAATCCACCCACTTACCTACCTCCATCTGACACACATCTACTCAATCCTACCTCTCCCTCCTCCACCTCCAAGCCATTCCCTTGTTCTCACCGAACTCACACCGCTCATCCCACCTAATCCCTTCTGCCCATTCTCCACCTGTCACCCATTTGCATCACCCGCCTCAGCTCCAATGACCTCATCACCCTTGTCAAAGTTGTTCACTACTTCAGATCTCCGACTCACGACCACCCAAAAGGAGTGCTCAAGTTAAACTTTGATGTGGATACTTGGGAAAAGAGAAAGCGGTGAAGTTCAGTGCAAGTTTTGCATCTCCTTTGAGACCAACGCACATGACTTGATGCTCGTCCAAAAAAGACAACCTTCATGGCGGTAGGAACGCTACCCCAACCAGGTCAACCACATCGAACAAAAAGCAAAAATGAGTAACGAAAATACGGTAGCAAGAAGGTGAAGAAGGCAAAATGGGAAGCGCTATGAAGGGAAAAATGACCTCAAACGATATGACGAAGGCTGTTGCTCTATATGAGAGAATCGCCTGCATCTGTCTATCCAGTCAAACCTTCTCGTCACTCCCTTCGCTTCTCTTCTTAATACATTAACTTTTGGTCGCTCTGTCAGTCACCCAAAATTTATGATCGAATTCCACCTAGCCCACAACTTATCGTCACAACATAGGGTACGCCTGTTTGTTTCGCACAATCTCACATTCCTGGTACTGACAATGCAATTATGCAAATGGCGGAAATGATAAGACATGGCACGCATCCAAAGCCACGCTTGCCAACAAATGAGACAAAAAATTGTAACATCTTTCGGCATATTGAGCGATTCGGGTGTGCAAACAAACAGCTAATCTCTAGAAGTCAATAATAAAACACCGCCGAATCGCTAAGCTGTCAGGTCAACCGGACTTGTCAGAGGGTGACAGTGAAACGCGTAAATCAACGAAACATACGCTGAACGGAGATTGGCTAACAAGTTTTGGCAGTTCATAAGCTTTGTGCCAATATTTACGCTCCCATAGTACCTCCTCAAATAAACGCAAACCGCAGATCAGCTAGTGCCTTGATTAAAAAAGGACCTCTTTTGGTTTTAATGACCTTGAGCCAACCAATGGGATGCAAGGAGTTTATGAAAACCCGCATAGAGGTGAATAAAGCACAAACGTAGCTTACATGGCACGTGCTGTGAAGAGATGACACCACTCATGTATTATCACGTCTCAACACTACGTTGCTCATTCGCCAATCAGGTTCACACCCACTTCATGACGCTGAGGAGGGTTGAGTGCTGGATAGTGCAGATCGCTCTAACACAGCCTGCGTTATTCATCAACACATGACTGAAAACTCCCACAATCACTTACCCGATGAAGGGCGTGACAGATTGCGCTATCAATGGCTTTGTGTCAGGAGTATACGTTGAAGGCGGTACGATACGTTCGCATTTGAAGGTGTCCTTAGCAAAGAAGTACGCAAAACGAATGGCAGGCTAGGGACAATAGTAGCACAATTTCAGGGCGGGATTGTGAGCACTGAACGCTCAACTCATACCGGAATGGGACCACTGTAACGATGATGCCATTGCTACCTGCTGTAATGAGCAACATGCACCTGTTCTATTACACTGCTACTTCCAACACCCGGCGAGCATGATGGAGACCAGTGGCATCGCTAATCAAGTCAGCAGGCAACAGCAGTAATGAGTGAAGAGGTAGACGATGGAGGAGTACATGTGCACATGTGCACACAAACACGTGCATTGAACAGTGAGTATTGCTGAAGTTGAGATTGTGTGAAAGAAGGCGTAAACCCGACACCATGGATACCAGTACGTGTTTACAAAGGATTTTGGGTAGAGCAGAATATTACGGTACTCAGGCACCTATACACTGAGCAACAAGATGGTGGAATAAATGATGCTTATATCCTTAGGCCCACACACTAGTCACATGCTCCCGTGAACAGTTAGCCAGTGAGTGGAACACCTGCCTAATTTTGACCGTCTGATCGACGTAACACCTCCCGCAGTGACGTGTGGTGGAGTAAAAGACCAAATTCTTCCCAAAGCACGATTAACTCGATCATTCGTGAACACAGCGTTGCCGTAAATTCAGCACACAAAGGTATTCACAGAGACACTACTCGCTTTCGACGAGTAAGGAAGCGTTGAATATTGCCAACACTGCATTAGAGGAGCATTAAAACATGAAGGGTTGGATTTTCTGGACGCATCAACATGCAACACGAAAGCTAGACACTCACCTTCACCATGAGATGATACAGAATTCCACCCATCCTTCGACCTTCCATCCGCACCTGGTGTTGATGAGGTCTCTCCCATGAACAACGATGGCGTCCGTCCTAGTTTATTTTCAACCCGACCATTGTCTTCATCATCCTGCGATGCAAGTGGGTTGTAAGATTTGGTCCCAGACCCAATTCCTCTACTTCCTACACCATTTGAAAGCAGAGTTGATTCACCACCTTCGCCGCCTCCACCTAGAACACCTGTCAGATCCGATGCTCCAGTCGTCCAACCCATAGGACCAAGGCCCGGATGAGAGGAGATTATCGAAGCTCCCATAATCACAGAACCTTCTTCCGGTTGCTGTTGTTGCTCGGTTAGTCGAGATTGGCGCGCAGAGGAGATGTGACTAGCGTTATCACCACGACCGTGCACACGATTCTTCACGTCGCGCAGCTTAGCTCCCAACCGTGAATGACTGTCACCAGTGGGAGGTGCCATGGTTGAACCGCTAAGAGATATAAGTGTTCGGAAGTAACGGTAGCATTTGAGACGAAAAGGCCAATAATCAGAATCAAAGATCTTCAATAGGAACTCAAGACCCAAAAAATGATGAATAATAAATCAGGCTTCGTTAGAAGGTTCACTTAACGAGGAAAGTACACAAAGGTTTACAACTGACAACGTTGAGGCCACATATGACCTCCTCTTCCGCAGTGAGACAATTATCAGACAGATAAATGCCACATTGGAATCAAATGCGCGCTTTGTCAAACATCTTTCTGCTCTAAGTGTTACGAAGACAATGGGTACTCTCGAAGGATTCGTAAGTAATTTCGACATCAGCATTGTTGTGATAAAACATGTAGAAAAGTTTATGCAGCTAAAAGTATAGGGACAATATATCTACTGCTCGGGGAAATGGAGTAGGACAAAATAGATCGTGGAAAACTCCATCCAAATGGGAAGCGCTCTGTTCTTCGGTGCCGACGTGCATGGAATGGAGGTCCAAGGAAACAAAAAAGTTGACAAGTTCATGCTCACTGTTGCTGTGACTTGAGAGCAGCTCCGAGGTGGGAGAGTGATCCACGGAGTGTGCTGTGTTTAGAGTGTATTAGCCCTGAAGCAGCCATCGGAATCGTTCCCTCTGGCCAATAATCGAGAACCCATATCCAAAAAGAGAGTTGGCCACAGGGAATGGGGTTGTGTTTAGTGGGTTGGAGTTCACGGACATGCAACTGCGAAGTCACAAGGGCTGGAGGTGGCGCCGGCGGCCAGGGCAAGTCAGCCAGTGAGATGATTACTTGACCCACTTCGCGCTCTTTCCCATCCACTACCAACATTCGCACGCTGTCCACGGGTTTTGGTGTTACGCTTAATAATGAATAGGAAGTAGTAGTTGATTGATGAAGCGATGGGATAAGGAAAAGAATGGACTAGTGTAGAAAAGCGGCGAATCATTGGGCGATTAAAGTAAAAAGTGAATGAGTTTGCCAATGGAAAATAAAATATGCAGCACTCAGGAGAATTAAAGATAAAATGAGGGTTTAACGATCAAGTTTATCAATGACTGTAAAAAATGTATGAATCATTGACAGGTTCAAAAGGT